ACATTTTCAATAACGGCTGTACCTTCCCCCACTTCTAATCCCGGATTGTCGTTGGGGGATTCCATCGTAAACGCCGATCTGAAAAACTCCCACAGTAACTCTTCTTTCCGCGGTCCTTCCGTTACTACGTTCCCGAAGTTATCCCTTAGAGTTGCAATGTCCACCCGGTGCTTCCCTTGACTGCAGATGTACCCATAAAACGTTTTGGACATATTGTGGCTTGTGTTATAAGTTGACGCTAAACGGCATATATTTCGTTGCGCTTTATATTCGGCAAGTGATGTTGAATCTTGAAGATGCTCGCACTTTTTCCACAGCCTTTTGTTTCTTCATTATGGCCCTTTTCATCTGCTGGTTGACATACGGAGGTCTGACATATGGTCTAATTAATGTCATTGGGAAATGGACTTAAATTAAGCGCTGCACAGTCCCTTGGACATGCTGTCATAATTCATTTGTATCGTTCAAATTGGGTAACCAGTTTTCTGCGGAAGCGGTACGCGTTATTTCTTCAAAAGCAACTTACCAAATATTTCTGCGCCTCTTTATTTGCGATTTTGAAGACAGTATATAACACACGCAGGTAAAAGCGACGTGATCGCTTAACCCAAGTGGCGGTTGCGAGTTCACTTTCCTTATGATCCCCTCTTCTTTACTTAAATTGAGATCAGGACAGTTTGATTTCTGGCAGTCGGGTTGTGCAGTTTATGTATTGAATGAGATATTCGTCTAAAGAAAACTGAAGTAGTTGATATTTGAAAGGTGCTGCTGCGGCCTTTACTCCAGGCCTAATCCAATCGATGCCAGGAGCGTTGAAATCACCCAGGTGTAATAGATTTTCCTGTTTACAGATAACCATCAGTGAACTTAGCAGTTCTACCCCGTCACTTTCGCTGGAGCCGGGAGGCCGATAAACAACGCATATATTGAGTGACGGATGTTGACTTATCTAACTTTTGCACGAAATTACTTCATACAGTCGTCGGGCTAGGTCTGCAATTTCCCTCTGACAACAGGAAATGTCATTGGCTGCATAAAGTGCCACTCCTTTGCCCCTAAGTGTAGGTCCGTCGCAGCGGAACAGTTGTTAGCCTTCAATGCTGACTTTGATGATCTCTATTGCTTCGGTCAGCCAAGTCTGTCAAAGAAATTATATGCGGTTTTTTTTCTCAGATACTTTTGTTTTGAGTACGCCAAGTTTTTTGAAGAGACTGACAATTGGTATAATAGATCTCGAGGCAGCGGCCAATATTGCTTGTGGTAACTTCTAGAACCGGACGGTTGACCTTGGTTAAGATTTCCACCTGACAACTTCCGGCCAAAGAAAATTTCCTTCGATGTGGACTATTTATCTTACTCTTATTTGCAGGCCGGTGTCGCCTTTGTTCTTTCGGTCCTTAAAATCGTTTTTCAAAAGTCGCATTTTCCAGCGTTCCTTGAGTTCATGATCCGGCTGAAAGAGAACGCCAGCATGCATGGTCCGCAGGGACGACTTTCTTTCCAGCAGAAGGTGTGCCTGCGCTTGGGTGTCCAAAATGACCATTAATGGTCGTGGCCGAGAGTTTTAACCATTCGGCGACTGATTTTTGCTCACTTCATATGTTTTGAGAATTTTTACAGACTCAGAGCCTCTTAGCAGTGATTTAGCGTACTGCCGAACGAGACCTCGATCGTGCTCCTTCTTATCCCCAGCAACGGAAGCAGTTGATTCTGGTGCACCCTGTATCACTGCATTTTGCTTCCGGTTGCCTTGAGCTTGAGCCGTGGTCACATTGCACCGAAGCAGAGTAACAGCGGGTGTTTCGAAGTCCAGATCTGTGAAAGATTATGTGGACATTTTGCTGGTAGCCC